CAGCTGCCCTGGTTTTCTCCCTTGTTGTGCTTTAAGGACCTGATGTACAAAGGTGTGTGGTCTGTGTGGTGGCCAACACTGCTTTCCCCGGGACCTTCTTGTCCAGTGAGTCACCCCTGCGCTTTGTTGGGTTTGTGCCACCTCTGCGGCAGCAGCTCTTCCCTCTCACAGATGGGAAGCTTCTTTCGGTCAGCTTACTCTCTAAATCACCAAGAATTTACGGTTGAACAGATACTGGGTGAACTATGTTTATGTATTTCTTTTTTATTTGTTCTTGGAAACAATTTCTTTTAAACTAGCAGTCATTTAGTGTAGGGTATTAACTGCTGAGGTGCTATGGTAATAAGAAGCAAACATTTTCTTGCTCTGTTCGGGTGGAGGATAAATGATCATTCTAACACTGTCGAGGATGTTCAACACAAAGTCAATGCAAATAAAGGAGCAGCGAAGAGTGAAGTTACTCCATCTGACTAGGGGGACGGATTCAGCAGATAATAGTAACAGAAGGTCAGAAACTTCTGAGAAGCATGGGTGCCTCGACCAAAGGAGGGAATCCAAGAGATCAGAGTCAGGAATGTAAAACAAACATCATCTTAGATAGAAAGTGCAGGACGTGGCCAGCTGACCTCACCAGGCTGTATCAGATCATGACTCCTTGTCTTCTGTCTTTCTTGCAACTTAACACCTAAATACCGAGTTCACTTACTTTACTGCATTTAATAAGGAATGTAAAATTGTTTATTGATCTGAAAAGGCTTTAACTTAATTCTGGTAATGATTTAGCAATAAATTGCTGTTTGACGGTTCATTAGTTCTTTTAGTCTATGTGGGCACCTGCCTTTATAAGCAGATCAATTAGCTTTCTTACAAAATGAATTTGTTAACATGCCTGTAAAAAAATGTTACTCCGCATTCAACCCTAATATGAGTTTCAGAGTTTATACTCTCAATCCAGATCTGGGGCTCAGAGTCAAGACTGTGCATTGTTAACTGCATGATCTAAGCCAAATTTTCTAAAAACTCTAAATCTCAGCTTCCTTATCTGGAAGACAATAGCATCAATTTACACAATTATTGTGGGAATGATATGAAATGAGGTAAATTTTAGAAAATTACATATACTGTGCTTGGCTCATAGTTGGTAACTTTCTCAATATCACACAGTTAGTATATGTCTCAGAGCTGGGATTTCAATTCAGGTAATCTGGGTCTAGGTCATGCTGAAAAACAGTAACCATTAGTGCCCCCTCATGAAATGGAATTTCTCAACCTAAATTTAAAAATTTTCCACATCCTGTTACCATTTTGCCCATCTGAATTCACCTCTCTATAGACTTATCTTCCTCCAAGGTGGATGCTTCTCCATCATTGGATATGACTTGAATGTTTGTGATGCTTGCCTTCTGCCCACATGGCTTCTCTTTCTCTGGATAGTTTAAGGCCTACGCCATCCAGTTCAGGCATTTTAGAATCTTTATTGTTTATCTGCTAATTTATGGGCTCATTATTTGTTCCTTCATTCCTTTGTTTTTATATGTATTCATTTGTCCAACAAACATCAAGCAGTATGGATATTTAAAGTTATATAGAACATAACCACTGCTCTTCAAGAGTTTACAGTCATATCTGAGATATAGGTAAAGAGATACAGCATTTCACATAAATAACTATTATATTGTGAGAGTTACTATAGCAAAGGTATGTTCGGGCCATTGGGGGAGCACAGAGGATGGGGTACCAACTCTGAGGAGGTCAAACAAGCTGATGTTGATCCCTGCTGGGTCTAACATATATAGATATTCTGGGGATATTTATGAGAGAGATATGAGGAGGGAGGGGGGTAAGCAAAAGGAATGGAGAGAGAGGAACAGCATGGGGGAAGGCACATTGGTGAGACAGCAGTGTGGTGATCAGCGGACTGCTACTACCTCAGGGTGACTGGGGCAGGAGTAACAACACTTGCAGTTATGTACCTGCAGGAATGACAGATAATGAGTCTGCTCATTATCTGTGTTTTAAGTAGGAGGATTTATATCTTTTGAAAACATATTAATTTTAAAGAGGAGGGTTTGAGAGAACGGTCAAGTTACAGTTAGAAGGAACAGATAGGATATAATTGAAATAGTCCAGATGAGAGGTTTTAGAGTTCAGAACCAAGGCATTGCTAGTGGGTGAGGTGATGTATTCACATCCAGTGTGGATATGGGGTGGGTCATGTGGACTCTAGAATAACTACTGGGTGTATGTTTTGGGTAAGTGGATAATTACGATGACATTGAGATTAGTAATTCAAGAAAATGAATAGGTTTTAGACATAATTTAATTTTGGGAGCCGAGGCAAAGGTATTTAGTAAGTGGCTGAAATGTAGGCCATATTTTTTAAATGAGTTTGTAAATGAGTGAGCATCTGTGAAGCTGTCACCACAAACTATGCCATAAGTATATCCATCACATTCCAAAGTTTCCTTCCACCTTTGCTTCTTTATTATCATTTTGTAATATGGCTAATATAAAAACTACCCTCTTAGCAAAAAAAATGAAGTATACAATACAACATTATTTAACTATAGGTACAATGCTCTACATTACATCTCTAGAGTTTACTCATCTTGCATAACAAAGTTTGTACCTTTTAGGCCAGTTCTTTAATAAACATTTATTGCATGCTTATTGTGTGTGTTGGACATAATAAAGATATTACAACTTGTCAAGTTACAGTTTTTACCCTTAAAAAGGACATAGTCCAGTGAACAGAGACAGAAGTGAGATTGTAGTAGAAAAGAATTTTAATTGCTTGTTAACTGGACGGTAGGAAGGTATGGCAAAGGAAGGAAAAAGTTCAGTTTGAGTGGTTGGTGAAGGCTTCAGAGGACACACAATTTTGGAATTTAGCACAGTTGTTACAGACAGGGAGGGCTGGACATGAATGATGCTCTAGGTAGAGAGAACAGAAAAGTTACTGAGGTGTGAAAGAGCACAGAATCCTTAATGAATAACAGGTCACTTTATATGGCTGAAATATAGAACATGTGAGTCTGTATGTGCAACAGTGGACACATGCCCTTGGACTTGTGTTTTTTTTTTTTTTGAGGCAGGAGTTCAACTGAAGTTGAATTATTCTGCTCAGAATTTTTCCAACAATTATTGTCTAGAACAATAGTTCTGGACTAGTAATGCAGGTCAGAAATCTAGACATAATTCATCAGAGATATTGACATAATTGCTGTTTTCATTTAAACAAAATGTATGTTATTGTTTTTAGGTTTGGGAGACCCAGGATCTTTGATGGAGTAATTAGTAGAACTTTTTATTTTACCAAAACCAGATTTAAAATAATTTCTCTACCCTACTGCTACTTAACTTCCCAAAGCCTTTACAAAGAGAGATCACCTATAGGTACAATAAATATGTTTTGAATTGAACTCAGAAGTCTACTTCTTGACATTTTTATTAGTAGAAAAGAGGTCCTTGCTTGTCATTGTGAATGAACACCAAATTGTTTCAGGCAAGGGGAGTTGGACTCTGACAGCTTTTGAAACCCAGAAGACAGGTGGTTCTTTAGCGTCAGCCTTCTTCTCTCCATCTTTCTGCTTCCCTTTCTCATCTGCATTGCCCTGTTGCTTGTGAAGCTTGGCGCCTGGCCAGAGTATGTGTTCCCAAGTCCCTACAGAGCCTGAGTGACGTGAAAACGGCAGATTTCCAAGTGGAGGGAGCTGAGAGAGTCAGCCAGCCCCTAAAACAATATGCAGCTTACAATACATTCTTTAGAGAATTAAATAGATCATTTACCCAAATACATAGTATTTATCTACCCATATACGTAGTCCAATGTCAGCAAAGTCTTTTAGCCATTAACAATATTCTGTGATATATTTCAAGAATACAGTACTAAGTTTAATTCAACAAAATTTTATTTGGATACTTCCCACACAAAACACAGTGCTATCAAACCAGCAAAATTAATATAAACTTTCTCCTCCTTTTCTTCTTTTTCCTCCTCCCCTTCTCCTTCCTCCCCCTCTTTCTCCTCCTTCTTGTAATTCAAGAAACTAGTCATCATAAAGATTATTTACTTGAGTAGTCATTTGCATCCTAAAACACAAAAATCATAGGATGATCTATATCCAAACAATTTTTGATTCTCAATAGGCACGTTTTATTTGTGGAGTTAGGTTCTTTTGTGGCTGGGTACCAGTCTCCAGTCATCACCCTCACCCTGGGGATGGGTTTTTGCCATTTGCCAACAGGCTGGACCAGTTGATTAGGTTGTCTCTGCTCTTCCAAGTCATGCCCCCTCAGAACTTGGCTGTATTCTGCATTTTCAATTATATTCTCCCATTGTATTTTTATTGTTGTAACAATATTTAATTTGATAATGACATTCTGGTTTTTTAACTCCTGATATCCCTCCATTGACAAGTTTGATGGCTATGTAAGATACATTTTCTCTTGGTATTTACTTCATTATATGAAATATTTCTTACTTGGATTATTTTAATCATTATTTGAGGAATTCCCAACTGAATACCTAGAAAAGTAAATGATTATTTGAATAAGAAAAGGTTTCATATACATGGATAATATTACTTTTATGAATTTCAAATACCTGGGATTAGGGGAATACATTTAAATTTAAATGCTTATATTGTGTAAATAAATGCAATTTTATAAAAGAAAATAAAGTGGAAATGATAATATGTTAATAAGGCTTTTCAAATTATACAACCTTTCTTAAATAACCATTATTAACTTTTATTACAATTTCAATTGTGTCCATCTGTAAGTGATTTAGGAAAAAAGTAAAATTTAAACATAGTTATTGGTACTGACTTACTTTAAAGTTGTTTTAAAAGTAACTGTGTATTAAAATTCAGGTACTCCCCTTCCCCTCTCTGCAATTTTCCACACACTCTGTATCCTAAATACTTTTGGAAAATGTTAGAAAGAGGATAAATCTAGAATTGAATTCTAATATTCATTTTAACATTCTTTTCTTTTAGACACTACATGAAGTTATGTGGCAATGAGAGAGACCCATGAAATCCCTCCTTCAGGAGAGAATGTCTTTCATAAATGGAGCTTTGCTTCTGGTTTTCACAGGGCATTGACACTGTGGCAGAGCCATGGCTGCCCTTCCTGCTATTTTCAGTGATTCGCAGAACATCTGAATGGTGATGCTTGCCGGGGATTTACAGATTTTCCTCCTGATACCTTGTTTACTTCTTTGGGGCAGAAAAGCTTGCACTGATTTCTCTCCATGGTGGCTAATCTTTTTAAGAGCCTGATTTTACCTTACATACATAAGCTTTGCAAAGGAATGTTTACAAAGAAATTGGGAAATACAACCAAAAAAAAAGAGAATCATCCGCAGAAAAAGGATCAAGATCTTCCTACTGCTGGCCAGAACAAAACCCCCAAATTTTCTAGTACCTTGAAAAGTACTGTAAAGAAGATTGCAAAGCATTCATCCACTCGTAATTTACCCATTGAAGAAGAGGCTAATAAAGAATTCTCCCTCTCACCAACACTCAGTTACCGAGCAGCTATTGCCAATGGCCTACAAAAGAATGCTAATGTAACTGATGGTGATAATGAGGATCTGTCTCAAGAGTTATCTTCAATTGAGAGTTCCTATTCAGAATCACTCAATGAACTAAGGAGTAGTACAGAAAACCAGGCACAGTCAACACACACGATGCCTGTTAGACGCAATAGAAAGAGTTCAAGCAGCCTGGCACCGTCTGAGGGCAGCTCTGATGGGGAACGCACTCTGTATAGCTTAAAACTAGGAGCTTTGCGCAAACTGAGAAAATGGAAAAAGAGTCAAGAGTGTGTCTCTTCAGATTCAGAGTTGAGCACGGTGAAGAAAACCTGGGGAATAAGAAGTAAATCGTTGGATAGAACTGCCCGAAACCCAAAGACAACTGCCTTGGAGCCAGGATTCAGTTCCTCTGGCTGCCTTAGCCAAACGCATGATGTCATGGAAATGATCTTTAAAGAACTTCAGGGTATAAGTCAGATTGAAACAGAACTTTGTGAACTACGCGGGCATGTTAATGCCCTCAAGCATTCCATCGATGAGATCTCCAGCAGTGTGGAGGTTGTACAAAGCGAAATTGAACAGCTGCGGACAGGGTTTGTCCAGTCTCGAAGGGAAACCAGAGACATCCATGATTATATTAAACACCTAGGTCATATGGGTAGCAAGGCAAGTCTGAGATTTTTAAATGTGCCTGAAGAAAGATTTGAATATATTGAATGTGTGGTGTATCAAATTCTAATAGATAAAATGGGTTTTTCAGATGCACCAAATGCTATTAAAATTGAATTTGCTCAGAGAATAGGACACCAAAGGGACTGCCCAAATGCAAAACCTCGACCCATACTTGTGTACTTTGAAACCCCTCAGCAAAGGGATTCCATCTTAAAAAAATCATATAAACTCAAAGGAACAGGCATTGGAATCTCAACAGATGTTCTTACCCATGACATCAGAGAAAGAAAAGAGAGAGGGATACCATCCTCCCAGACATATGAGAGCATGGATATAAAGCTGTCTATTCCAGAAACTAAAATCAAGAGAAACAACTGGCAGTCACCTGATGACAGTGACAGAGAGCTGGAATCTGACCTTAATAGAAACAGTTATGCTGTGCTTTCCAAGTCAGAGTTTCTAATAAAGGGAAGTACTTCCAAGTCAACTTCAAAATCATACAATGCTAGAGCTAAGAATAAAACTGCTAGTAGTAGCAGAATTTCAACTAAATCAGATTACGATACAGTTCCCTCACAATTGCCAGAATTAGCTAACTTGGAAAAACAAACTGTGACCCATTATGCAGATCCAACACCCCTCTGGCATTCACAGAGTGATTTTTTTACTCCTAAACTTAGTCGTTCTGAATCAGATTTTTCCAAATTGTGTCAATCTTACTCAGAAGATTTTTCAGAAAATCAATTTTTCACTAGAACTAATGGAAGCTCCCTCCTGTCATCTTCAGACAGGGAACTTTGGCAGAGAAAGCAGGAGGGCACACCCACCTTGTATGACAGTCCTCAGGATAAACAATTGAATGGAGCTGTTCAGGGTGTCCAAGGACAGAGTAAAATTGAGAACACAGAAACTGTGGATAGTGGAATGAGTAATGATATTGTGTGTGCATCTGGAGACCAAAGTCATTACAGTGATTCTCAGCTCTCTTTACAGGAGTATCTTTCTCCATGGAAGGAATGGAATCAAACAGAGCAAACAGCTGATTTAGGTTTGGATTCATCCATCCAGGAAGCATTTGACTATGACATAAACAGTCTATGTGATCAAAAACCAGATGTTTATAACAAAGATCTAGAAGACTTGGGAAAGTGCCACAGTGAACTTCAGGATGATTCTGAGAGCTATGATTTAACCCAAGATGACAACTCATCTCCATGCCCTGGATTGGATAATGAACCACGAGGCCAGTGGGTCAGCCAACACGATTCTTATCAGGAAGCTAATTCTTATAATATGTACCAAAATCAAAATCAGTTGTCCATGATGTATCGAAGTCAAAGTGAATCGCAAAGTGATGATTCAGAGGATGCCCCGCCCAAATCTTGGCATAGTCGATTAAGCATTGACCTTTCTGATAAGGCTTTCAGCTTCCCAAAATTTGGATCTACACTACAGAGGGCTAAATCAGCCTTGGAAGTGGTATGGAACAAAAGCACACAGAGTCTCAGTGGATATGAAGATAGTGGTTCTTCTTTAATGGGGAGATTTCGGACATTATCCCAATCAACTGCAAATGAATCAAGTACCACTCTCGACTCTGATGTCTACACGGAGCCTTACTACTACAAAGCAGAGGATGAAGAAGACTATAGTGAACCAGTGGTTGATAATGAAACAGATTATGTTGAAGTAATGGAACAAGTCCTTGCTAAGCTAGAAAACAGGACTAGTGTTACCGAAACAGATGAACAAATGCAGGAATATGATCACCCTTCATATGAAACACCTTATGAAACCCCACAAGATGAGGGTTATGATGGACAGGCAGATGATGTGGTTAGTGAAGGGGGATTGGAACCATTAAATGAAACACCAGCTGAATTGGAAATAAGAGAAGATGAAAACCAAAACATCCCCGAACAGCCAGTGGAAATCACAAAGCCGAAAAGAATCCGTCCCTCTTTCAAAGAAGCAGCTTTAAAAGCCTATAAGAAGCAAATGGCAGAATTGGAAGAGAAGATCTTGGCTGGAGGTACTCATGTTTAAATGTTACATAATAAGCTAATTGTGTTTTAACATTGGGTGGTACTTCTTTAGAGCATATTCTGTGTTTATTTTTGGGAGAAAGAATTTGTTTAGAAGGAATTTGCATGTTTATACCAAGAAGGATTTTATTTTACCCAGACAGCTTCCCCAACGAGTTGGGCTTGATGATTTAAAATAAAAGTGTTTTTAAGTAGGTCATACTAAAATAAGCCCCACATTCTGTGGATCAAGATTTCTATTAGGATTAAGTGCAAACCCCATTTCATATTAACCAACTTTGTGGCATAAGTTATCTAAGAAAGGATGAATGAAATCAAAGAGCAGCCTAAAATCTACTCCCTGGTTCTATTAGGTTTACAAGGATGGAGACAAAGGTGTAGTTAAACTTATAGAGAATAGGAAAAAAATGGACTCCCAGACTTGCCACTCCTCTTCCCATCATATCTACACTTCGGGACTTGCTAGTAGGAAGAGCTGCATCTGCACAGCCAACCCTAGTCAGACCCATGGAAGACCAGAGTCTCCTCGCTTCTTATGGAGGCAGCTGAGGTAGTGCAATAGAGCCAATACCCTAAGCCACGCCTGCGTGGCTACAAGTGACTCTGTGAGGGGGAGTCAGTGATGGGGTCAAGTTGAGAAGCTCCCTCTTAAAGAGTGGAGTGGAAGTCTCCCATTATGGAAATGAAGAGAGTATCTTATCTAACAACTTTACTTGATCTCCTAGGGAAATGTTTTTGGATCATAACACTTTTGAAAAGTAGCTAGATAAAAATAAAATAATTTGTTGACTTATTTCTCAACTTCATCTGCACTTAACCCCAATTCCTTATGATTTTTTATTCACATGCTTATCACTTTATGTCTGAGATAGTTTGATATAATCTCAACTTCACTGAATGTCAATGTGTTGTCTGTCATCTTTAAATTTTTGTTTTATATAATATTTTATAAAGATATATATTTATGTGATCAAGTGTTACTTACTATTATGAAATAATATGACCATTTCTGCAGTGAGTAGTTGATTATAGCTTCCTTGTCTTGACCAAAATTGTGACCAGACACTCTCCAAACTGGACATTTTCTGGTTGACATGGGTAAATTAATGAATAATTAGAAACCTTTATTGTTAAATTGTTTTAGTCTCTAAGATAATTAAAATAACAAATAGGGTTCTCTGCTCTAAAAATCTGTCTATATAAAACAGCACATCCTATGTAATTTATTTAAAGAACAACATAAAGATATCTCAGCTACATTGGCTGTGACATTTTTGTTTTTATTTTTTTAAGGGGGGTTAGTTCCCAACTATGTTTAAAACTGATTTGAGAGTGAAAATTAGTCAAAATTTTATGTGAATAATAATATATATTGGAATAATGTCTGTATTATTTCAGTGATTTTTAATAGTAAGATATCCTTATTACTGAAATTCAGTTGATAATTCTTGAGATAATAGACCAGCAGTTTGACATTGTGCTTTATTTGCTGTGGGTTCAGGAATGTCTACTCAAAGGCATATTAAAACTAAGCAGTGTGTGTGTATGGGTTTGTGTGTCTGTTATGATGTAATAGATGAATGTGAATTAATGAAAATTAGTTAAAGGATCTGAAATGGTAAGCAATATTGCAAACATGACATGACTATGTTTCAGAAAAAATGCATCTTCATCAACTTAAAAAAAACTCCAAATTATCAAACCTCTACAAAGTAGATTGTTACCGGTAATGACCCTTCTGACAGCTAACAACCTTAGTCATTCCGAGGTACATCCTTAGGAAACAGAAATACACTTGGTTACCCACACACCCCCAACTGAAGAATCCCCAAATAAGTAAAACAATCTTATGCCATATGCCTGATATACCAGGCCTGGCTACAGAGGACTCAGACCCCTCTACCAAGCTTGGCTTATTATCCTGTGAGCCAGTTTTCAGAGGAATCTGTTAGATATCATCTATCCAGGGGGAAATCAGGCACATGTCTTTAAGATGTTCTCTGGTTGCTTGAAAGGCCCCAGACTGTCTATCCTGGAGGCTGCAGTAGCCTGGATTTTAAAGGTCAGCTTTTCTCCCCTTGGCAGCAGCCAGGCAGTTGTCGCCCTCCTGTGCCATCAATATGCCTCAGGAGGAAGGGCAGTGTTCAGGCCCCTTCGCTGCTCAGAGCACCTAATGAGGTGCCAATGGTCATGATGGATTTTGTGCCTGTGGCCATCTGCTTACTGAGCTCTGAGCAGATGCCAGTGCACTTTTCTCTCCATGACTGCCAGGCACCATTAGGGAGCAGTGCTCTCTCTTCTCCATCATGAAACCTGCAAGTGGAAGATGGAGCTCCTGCTATGAAGTCTATAGGATGCAGTTTCCCTGACATACCTCTATGGAATTAAGCTCACACATTTGAATTATTTTGTCTTCAGGGTCCTTATAAAGTGGGATTTTAAGGACTCCAGTGTTTAGGTACAGGGATATTTGGAGGTAGTGTTTCCGGGAACCTTCACTTTGAGCAGCATGCCAGTGGGGAAGAAACTGCAGAGTGTGTGTAGCTAGAAATTCCATGAGGTCATGTGCTTCCCTCGTTGCTGGACCCTGATGAGTGGCCCCTTTGGTGTATCTGGCCCGACCCCACACTGTTATGGTGACTCTCTGATCCTCCACCTCCATCTCGGTATCACCCATCAAGTAGAAAACTATTGTCTCTTCTCAATTCCTATATACCTGCCTCTTAAGGCACTGGCTTCCACATTATATTATGACAGTTTATGGACATTTCTCATTTTTTCTTCTACATGTTAATCCAGAGGTGAAAGGGCTTGTCTTTTTCATCCTTGCATTTGCACGGTGCCTAGATTAGTGCTCTATGCAGAGGAGGCACTGAGTTTACATATACTGGGTGAATATCTGTGTCAAGGGAAACAGGATACTAAATAAAAAGCATGAGCCTCAGAGTCTAATCGAATCCAAACTGTGGCCTTTAATTGCTAAGCCTATGACTTTATCTCCTGAGAGTTCAGATGTAGGGTTAGAAATAAAAGCTTATTATTGAGCACTGCTATATACCAGGTACTTTCCAGGAAGTTTATTGGTTTTTATTCTTTTGCTTCTTCTAACACCACTATGAATATGATTCCATTATTATCCCATTTTAGAGGGGAGAAAACAGATGCTGGAAACTTATGTAACCTCCTCAGTGTCTTACAGCCTAGTAAGGTGAGGATCCAGAATTAAATGGATGGCTGTTTAGAGCAGCCATATGCTTACTTATTACTGAGATTGTTTTAATTGTGTCTGAAGGTTGAAAAACATGATTAAAAACAGAGGGCAACATTAACCACAAGGTTTATTCCAACTAAAGGATTTCTATGAAGAAACTGTAATAATAAGAAAGGCACTGAGGTTTTGATATAAATAGCTCACTCTCAATTTTTGTACTTCGAATCCTTGGTCCATCTTATAAATCAAGGCTTGTAGAGCTCAATAAATACTGTATAACAGCATCTTGAAGGATGGTGTGTTTTAAACCAGAGCACACTTCACCTGGAATTAGAGTCTAACGTCAGTTTAAAGAAAGTTTTTCTAGCGGAACAAAACTGGTTGTTTTGTTTTGAAATGCCATTCCCAGGATGTCTGTAGATTCTGAAAGTGACTGTGACAGCTGTAACTAGTATAATTACTAATATTTTTATGATGGTGTGAATTTTGTTTTCTGAATAGTCATAGATTTTTGTGGGAATATATTGGTTTTCAAAAAGGATATGAAATTGAATATAAACATTTTTCTAAGACTGATTCTTCAATATGTTAGACCAGTGGTTCCCAAACTGGCTAGTTGTTAGAATCATCTGGGGCGCTCTCGTAGCTCTTCCTGTTCCCTTGGTGGTGTTATACGATTAAAATTATTAGGATCCTGTCACTGAGCATTTTGATTTTGTGTTCCTGCAATGGGACACAGGGATATGTATACCAGTTTGTATGTTGTTGATTAGTTATATGTACATCTGTAAATAAAACAACACACACACAAATAAAAAATATTATAAAACCAATTCCTGAAAACTCCAAAGTGAAAAGTGACATAGATAGCTTCTCCCATTCTTCAGAGAAAGATAATTTGTTTCAGGCACTCTATATGTATAAATACATATACACCTCCTCTCTTTTTTAATTTAACATAAATAGTATTATGCTGTCACATATTCATATTGTTCTGTTCCTCTTTTTTCATATAACATACATTTGAAATATCTTTTTATTATCTACTGCATTCTTTTTAATGACACAAAGTTTTCTGCTATATAATTATTGCATAATTCACTGACTCTGTGCCCTATCATTGAGCAGTTTATTAGAAACTCACAACCAATACAGACCTATCATCTATCTTTGAGCAAATGAGATAGCATGTACAAGCTTCTAGGCATGAAATTATTGAGTCAGTGGATTTATGCCAGCTTAAGAGAGTTAGGAACTCATGAACTCCAGGTCAAATCATAGCATCTGTCATACTTGTAAACTTATTATTTATGTATATGATTACTTGATTATTATAAATCTCTACTATTCAGACTAGACTGCAAAGTCAATGATAGATAATTTCTTTCCATTGCAATTGTAAAGCCAGAGCCTGGGTCAGTATCTGGCATAGAGTAAATGCTCAGTAAATATTTGTTGACTAGATAAATAAACAACAGCCTCCTCCCTAAGTTGCTGGGCTATGTAGTTTCACATAGAGTAGAGAACTCTCATAATTCAAATAAACTTCAGTTTTATTTCCTTAAATCAAAAGGATGCTTTTAATTATATATATGATAGCATAATAGAGAAAGCATGACTTAAAATGAAAGCATGACTTTCCCACTTTGGTTCAGTTAATCACATGTATGAGCAAGCTAGCTGTTACTTCTGTGGTGATGTAACCTATACAACTTCAAAAACTTAGCTGAAATTATTCAATTCCAGGCTTCAAGTTTAAGATAAATATTTCAACTA